TGGCTAAAATTGAAGACTGAAGTGTTAGCAAGGATATGGGGAAACAGCTTTCTTATGCTGCTTGCTGGTGGGAATCTAAACATATGGTACATTCACTTTGGGAAATGGTTTGGCAGTTTCTTAAAAAAAAAAAAACATCTGAGACACCTGGGTGGCCCAGTCAGTAAGCTTCTGACTGTTGATTTCGGCTCAGGGTCATGATCTCAGGATTGTGAGACCAAGCATGGAGCCTGCTTAAGATTCTCTCCCTCCCTCCCCCTCTGCTTCTCACCCCCCAGAAGCTGAATATACCTACCATATGCAATCACTTCGCTTCTAACTTAATGAAAGCATGTATCCTTACCAGTACTTGTACACAGATGTTTATAACAGTTTCGGTAACTAAACCTGGAAATAATCTAAATGTCCATCAGTAGGTAAGTGGATAAACAAGCCACCGTATTCATATAATGAACTACTATTCAACAATGAATGGAATGAACTGTCAATACATACTATGTCATAGATAAATGCCAGAATCATTATTCTAAGTGGAAGAAGCTAGGCAAAAAAGTATATTGTTTGAATGGTTTCCATTTATATAAAATTCTAGAAAATGCAAACTCATGACAGAAAGCAGATTAATGGTTACTTGGGTATGAAAGGGGTGGCAATGGGGAGGGGCAGGAGGGAAGGATTCTAGAGGTGATGAATTTGTTCATTATCTTGATTTGGCGATGGTTGCAGGAGTGTGTATACATATACATATATGAGCTTACCAGATCAAGCACATTATGTGCATTTTATTGGATGTCAGCTATACTGCAATAAAAAATAAAAGCTATCTTTGTTATCTGACCACTGCTGCTAACACGTAGAAGATTAATTTCTAAATTTGCTAGATCTTAAGACAAAGATTTGTTTAAAACACACCTTAGATGATTCTTTTCATTAGTCAAGCTGGGAAAGCACTTGGCCCAGATTAAATTAATGGGTCTTTGGTCATCTGAATCCATTTCCATATGTGAGAAGGAAATGTTAGGTTTCTAGTATTAACAGAAAAGTCAGTCATAAAACACTTCATTGTGATGCTTTTATTGTGGTCAGATGAGACCCTTTAGAAAAGGACAAAATTCTTTTCTCAGCAGAGTATATAGTATACCGAGGTCAGCCTTGCCTTATAAGTTCCTGAAGTAACAGAATGGAAATCTCCTAATAGTCCCAGCATTAGTTAATATTCCATCAAAGAGTAAAAAAATAATTTTATTTATATACTTTGACAACTCAATGAGTATATGTTGCTAGTGAAAAAAAGTTTCATATCCTACATATTAAGAAGCTATAAAATAACACAAATTGAGAGAAGAGGACTAAGGTGAAAAAAAGAACGTTGTTATTCTCTAAATGTGCTTTAAACGGATGTAGCAGTAGCCTTTCATAAAACTCTGGAAAAAACAGCTTGACCTTCTTATTGCCCCTTTTCCAACGACGTCAAACAAAAGGAAATTATAGAATAAGTCTGTCTAAATTTTAAATGGCTTAGTTATCGGAAGACTTTGGAGAGCAGTTTTTCCACAAATCATCTTTTTGCTGTTTGGTCTTGATATTTTTTAAAGAGTTAGCAAGCCAACATATAATTAATCACTTTTGTTGGCTTTTAAGGAAATGAAACTGCAATGTACCCTTCGGGTTTATTGTTTTTGTGTGTGTGTGTTTATTAGGGTTGCAATATATAATAGACCTTAGGTGGATGCTTAGTGTTAATAATGTGGACAAAACAGTGTGAAAAAAATAATTTTTTAAAGTCAGCTTATATACGTTATACTGTTTTCATACCTGTGTACCTTCCATATCTCAGATACCAGCAGCATTACTGTGAAAGTCTCTTATAGTCAGAAGTTGTCAGAGTGTACCTCCCTTGTCAGTGAATGGGGTTTGTCACTGTGTACAATATGGCAGTACCCACTTTTTATTAATTCCCATTGTTTCTTCCTCCAAAATCTGGTTTGGACTGATTACTCCTTATCCATAGCTGCTGCCACAATCAGTGAATAAGAACAGATCCATCTCATTTCATGAAGAAGGGGTAGGAACACCCAGCCAGTTTTATTACTTCTTTCAACTCTATTTCATCAGAGTAGTGAACTATCTTCCATAAAGAAATTAGACATGATTTTTTAAATTAAGCATTACTAATCATTGTCATTATTAAATGTTTACCTAGAGTGTGCTTTTAAGATAGACAAATACCTGGATGTATGCAGGTACCTTCCTTTAACTTTTATTAATTTGAAGTCATTTTCCATTTTTAAACCAGTAGTTTTAGGGAAAATTAGTAGGCTCTGTCTCCATGAGATTTTTTTTTTTAAGAGTTATTATTTATCGGGGATCCCTGGGTGGCGCAGCGGTTTGGCACCTGCCTTTGGCCCAGGGCACGATCCGGAGACCCGGGATCGAATCCCACGTCGGGCTCCCGGTGCATGGAGCCTGCTTCTCCCTCTGCCTATGTCTCTGCCTCTCTCTCTCTCTCTGTGTGACTATCATAAATAAATAAAAATTTTAAAAAAAGATTTATTATTTATCTCAAAGAGTGCGTGAGCACATTTTCAGGGGCAGAGGGAGAGGGAGAGAATCCCAAGCAGACTCTGCACTGAGTGCAGAGCGTGACGTGGGTCTCAATCCCAGGACCCTGCGATCACAACCTGAGCTGTAAGCAATACTCAGATGCTTCACTGACTTTGCTGACTCGGTGCCCTTCTATGGAGATTTTAAAACTATACATCTGTCCCCATCTGTTCATCTCTTCCTTTTCTCTCCCCCCCCTTCAAAAACAGAGACATCTGGGATGGGCATTGCTCCACCCTAATGATCTGTTAATGAAAAAGATACTAAATTCCAAAGGTTTAACTTTTGGGTTTTGGTATTTAAGAGAATCCTGCCTTTAAATTGAGTTGGGAGATATTTTTCTTGCCCTGTTTTTTGAAAGAGTTTGTGTAGGATTGTGTTGAAAGTTGAACTGTGCCCTCTATAAAAAAATAGGTTGAAGTCCTAACTTCCAGTACCTTAGAATGTGACATTATTTGAAAATAAGGCTATTGCAGATATAATGTTAGGATGAGGTCATACTCAATTAGGGTGGACCTTAATCTAGTATGACTAGATTCCTTATAAGAAGAGACACAGACATGTGAGGGGAGAATGTTCGTGAAAACAGAGGCAGAGAATGAAGTGCTGCTTCTACAAGCCAAGGCTACCATCAAAAGCTGGGGGATAAGCAAGGAAAGATCCTTCCTCATGAGTTTCAGAGGGCGCAAAGCCCTGGTGACACCTTGATTTTGAACTTCTAGACTACAGAATTGTGGGATAATACATACTGTTGTTTAAGCCACCTAGTTTGTGGTGCTTCATTGTGGAAGCCCTAGGAAACTAATAAAAATTTGTCCTGTTTTTTTTTCTTTCAAGTTTGATGGAATTCACTCAGTGAAATAGGATGCAGTTTTCTTCGTGGAAAGATTTTTAACTACGAATTCAATTTCTTTTCTTTCTTTTTTTAAAAAAATTATTTGAGAGAGAGCATGAATGGAGGGGCAGGGGGAGAGGGAGAAGCAGGCTCCCCACTGAGCAGGGCTCGATTCCAGGACCCTGGGATCATGATCTGAGCCGAAGGCAGACACTCAGCTTACTGAGCTACCCAAGCACCCTGAATTCAGTTTCTTTAATAGATATGGGCTACATAAGTTTTCTACTTATTCTTATATCTATTTTGGTAATTTGTGTCTTTTGAGAAATTTGTTCTTTTCATCTAAGTTACTGAATTTATTGTCATAAAGTTGAGTATTTTTTGATGTAATGATGTTCCCTCTTTCATTTCTGATAACAGTAATTTGTGTCCTTTATTTTCTTTGATTAGTCTAGCTTAGTGGTTCTCAAGGGACAGTTTTGTCCTCCCCATGAGGGGACATTAGGTAATACCTGGAGATATTCTCAGTTATCACACTTGGGGCATCTAGTAGATGCCAGGGATATTGCTAAACATCCCACAAGGTACAGGATAGCCTCTCACAACAAAGAATTATGCAGCCCACAATATACATAGTGCTGAAGTTAAGAAACGTATCCTAGACTTTACAATGTATACCTACTTCCCATTGTTGTGAAAATTAGATGGAGATAAAGGATTCAAAATGTCTAGAACAGAAGGGACTCATAAACATGATACCTTCCTCCTCTTCCAGCTTCAGCTGTGTTGACTTCAGGTTCGAGGTCAGCAGGAGTCTCTGCTCTGAGTCTTTTCTGGCTGCATGGCAGTAAATCTGTGTAGATACATTGCCTGCCCTCTGCACAATCCCTATGAGCGAGTGTAAGCACAGCTGGGCCAAAATGGGGAGCCCTGGTTGGACCATGAATAAATATTCTTGCCACAACTTATGATTTCTATTCTTACCAATAGTTCACATGCTGATTTTAAATAAATCTGATCTTTTACTCAAGCAAGGTTGGAAGGTATTTTTCCAGCTTATTTTCGTCTGGTAATATAAATTATTTGACTGTAGTAAAAACCCATGACATCTTATATTTTACGTAGTTTACATATTTAATTTACTCAGAATGTTCTTCCCTCCAGTTAGGCTAAAGATATATTCATTTTCCACTTCTCAATTTTGCAAACTAGCTATGGTTATTTAATGTAACAGATTTTTCATATTAGGAAAATCTTAGATATAATTAGCAGTTTTGGATGGTTGGTCTTGTAATCAATAGTAAAAACAGTTCTTTCCAAGGGATCTAATTACCTTAGAATATGTAAAATGATACTCATTTTAAACAGTGCCTTCATTAAGATGTTTTTTTCTGTTCCAGCAAGAGAAACTAACTAGTTATGGTAGACTTTTTTTTTGTAAATAATAACTTGCTTTCCTTGAGGGTTGAGTGCTATTTTTGGTTCATACCTGGTCATGGGAAGCAGCACTCTGACAACTGTTTTAAATGTTCCTTCATTGTGTTTCTCCTTCTCTCCTCAGTGGGCCTTCGGAGTGACGCTGTGGGAGCTCATGACTCTGGGCCAGACGCCCTATGTGGACATTGATCCCTTTGAGATGGCTGCATACCTGAAGGATGGTTACCGAATAGCCCAACCAATCAACTGTCCTGATGAGCTGTGAGTTTCTCTGAGCTTAAAAGACATGGGTTTCATTCCCTTTTATGATAGAGGGATAAAAGAAGAAGAGCTAGTGCCCAAATTCATACAGAGACTTCCTTTGGAGAGTAATGACTCTTTGGACTTGAATTAGACTCATGGAGAACCACAGAGTCAGCCAGACTCATTCACTCTTTAACACATTTGAAATTAGAACGTCTTGTAGTTCTTACATTTGTCGTGCTTAGTCTAATCTGAGAGACCAGTAATGTACATAGTAAGAAAATATTGAATATTATGTCAGTTATTCTATGTAGAGTGAGTATCCAACTTTCATTTATACAGCCTTAGTTGTAGAAAGCCTTTCTCATTGTCATCTTTCCTTGCTATTTGGTGTCAACTGATAGGTTAAGGAAATGTTGCAGGCTGAGACAGTTCCTGTTTCCTGTCTTTATCATATAGCTAATCTTCCCATAAAAAGGGAGTAGGGTGGGCAGGAGGCTATTCAGGTGATTGAGTGCACAGATGACTGTGGTCTTGGTTCCTAAATCCCCTGAAGGTTTCTATACCATGGTGTGGTGGCAACTTTTGCACTAATTTTACTGTAGATCCGGGGTGCTTAGAGCTCAGATTAGATTAGTCCTCCTCTTCCTCCAAGTTCTTTTGCTCCAAAAACATAGATTATTATTTTGTCTATGTTTTAGGTATTTATGTGAAATTTCTGTATTTGCTGATGTATTTTGATATGACATCATGAAGAATTAAAATCCACACATAAAATCCAGAAAACTCGTTAGTTTTTTTTTTCTTTCATTTCAGAACTGTCAACATATAGTAATATTCATTGATTTTTAAGTCATTGTCCCCACGCCTACCTTTAGGGAGAGACATAACTGGCATCAAATTGACTGAATCATCATTAGCCCACTTTCCCATTTTTGTCACTGCAGATTTGCTGTGATGGCTTGTTGCTGGGCCTTAGATCCGGAGGAGAGGCCCAAGTTCCAGCAGCTGGTACAGTGTCTCACGGAGTTCCACGCAGCCCTGGGGGCCTATGTCTGATTTTACTCTCACAGTTCCATGGCATCAGGAGTACGGTGCCTGTCGGGGCTCACTTGGAACCAGTCATGGATGCTTCATACGTCATGCAACACCAGCAGAAGCACATAAGTCTTCCAGAAGACCGTGCCTTAGGAATGCTTTAGAATCTGAGCTTTTAAAGACAGACTTAATAATGTGGAATATTTTCTAGATATCATTTTTATTAGGTTGAACTGAAAAAGTTTTTGTAAATTTTTTGGCCCCAAATTTTTTAAAACATAGTTACTTTGGACTAGGGGTACATTCTTACAAAATAAATAAACAGTTTTTAAAATTGTTTAAACACAGATACTTGGAATAGTTATCTTAGTGCCAACTGCTTTTTTATTTTTTTACTTCATCAAGGTAATGTAGGTGATTCACCTTTAAAGTTTTGGTGTTTGTTTTTTTTATATATATATTTATCATTAGTCTTGGGATTGGTTTGTCTTAAGATACATTTCTCTTTCTTAAGAAAAGGAAAACAGCATAAAAAGATGTCTGGTTTGCCTCGTGTAGGAAAAGGCAGTATTGGAGGAAGAAAACTTAAAGAAAAGCTGGGGGGAAAAAACAACTTAGAAACAGAGGCTGTCCTTTCGTAGAAAACGGCTTCTTTTTTTATTTTCTTAATGAAAGTTATTTCTGCTTTCTTATTTTGGGGGAAGTAGAAGCTGAGTTCGTTGAAACCTCTTAAACTTGACAGGAATTAGTATTTCCATAAGCCAGAAATAGGCTTGTGGCAGGTCAGTTGTAAACAATGGTGATCTAATTTATTTTTACTCTCTGGGAAAGGAGATAATACAATTTCAGAAAGTGAAATCATGCTTCTAAGGTTAAGAATCCCTTTTATTGCACCTAGAATAGTGCTATGCACAGAGTGGGTACTTGAGCTGTTCCGGGTAGTGTAAAAAAAAAAAAGTAAACTGATAAATTTTGTGCTTAAAAGTTGGCTTAAGTATAAAGTTCTTTCTTCAGACACTTGAAAAATTAAAGGATTTCTTTTATAGTTTTGAAAATATTGTTCATAAAAAACGATTGGTTATTTTGGTTAAGTCTTTGAACATGTACCTGCTAGGTCAATACCCATGTAGTCAGGCTCCTAAGCCCTAACACAGTTATAGCTGACTCTACTCAACCTCCAAGTTCTAATAAGAAGTTGGGATTGTTGTTACAAGGAAGTGTTAAAACATTGAAACTTTTCTTCAGAGCCATTAAATGAGGGGTATATATGTATTTATGGTTGGTTGTAGTTGGCCTAAGGCAGAGTTGAATGGGCCTTCTAAATAGTTAGGCCCATAGGTGCCTGCCTCTGCTCCCATCCTCATAGGTATATTAGGAAGAATGCATAGCAGTTGGAGGCTTTTGCCATTCTTAAAGAAGTTTTATGAATCAGAACATCTAGAAAAATTGCTCACACAGCACTTGCTCTGTCAAAAGCAGGCCAAAAGCATGTTTTTTCTGAGTACCATTTATTAATAACACTGGTTCTTTGGTTTTATGAAATTCTCAGCCCCTTGAATGTCTTGTTTTTTAAAAGCTCTTTGAACAATTTGTGAGTTACAAATGTTTTCTTCACGACCTGTAATCTTAAAGAAGGCATTCAGTCAACAAATATTTATCTAGTTCTTATGTGTATTATACACAGAGAATGGTTCAATTCTAGTTCTAACATCCCTTCCAACATTCAGTGCATTCTGTTTTGTGTTTGGGTTATTGCCTTGTTTAGAAATCACAGTTCTTTGTACAAGATCAGTTCAAAAGAAAAAGTGCTGACATCTGACTTCTAACCCCTAATTAACAGTTGCTCTCAGAGGTGCCCTCAGTTTACTGGGATGTGTGATGCCTTTAACCTTATCTTTTTGTGTTTGTAAGCTGTTTGTTTTATGTATGTGCATTTGTTTTAGTAGGTGGCATAAGTCTTTAAATAGATTTTTCTTGCTGAGCTACTTGGAGTCATTGACTTCAATGAAAAGAGCAGTTCTAAGATTTCTGTGACTGGTCTTCCAATTGTTTTTGCTGTAGGGTGTGAATATTACTGAAGAGATTTTGCAGAAAATATACTTTTTATAGGAAAGAAGCAAATTAACAAAGCACTGATGTGGTATTATAAGCTGGCTCTAATGACCTAGAGTTCTATTACAGTCTGTCCTTCCTTATAACACCCCCGTTGTAAGAAAATTTTATTTGTAGAAACAAGGAGGATTGGGTTATTAATTCAATACATGTATATTTATTGAGTGCCCACTTGTATGTCTGGCTTTCAAGATATGCAGGAAGTAGGACAAATGAGGTTCCTTCCTTTCTAGTTTTATATTCTGGTTGGGAGAAACATATAATGAACATAAGTAAGATTTTGATAAGTGCTATGAAAAACAAAAAGCAGTATTATAGAGAAAAACTTTAGGTGTAATACTTAGCTCAGCTTCTCTGAGCATGTGGCATTTGAGCTGAGATCTGAATGGCAGAAAGCTGTCTATGAGAAAATCCAAGTTGAAGGAATATAACTGCAGAGACTGTAAAGCAGGAACGAGTTGCCCTCTAGACTTGGCCGTACCTGCTCATTTTTCAGCTGCTGCTGCTGCTGCTGGAAGAAGAGGACAGAGACTGGTGTGGCTAGAATGTAGTTAGGGATGGGAGGGTACCAGATGAGGTCTGAGAGACAAAGGAACAGAGAGCAGCAGGGCCTTGTAAGCCACGGTGCATATTTTATTCTAAATAAAATGGAATTTTTCATTCGGGATTTTTTAAAGTAAGGAGGTAACATGATCTGACTTGTCATTTAAGAAATACTATGCCAGGTCTTTTGTAAAGATTGAATTGTAGGGAGGCAAGGGGAAATAATAAGACTCTTTAAGAAACTATTGAATAGTTTTGGAAAGACAGTGGTTTGGGCCTAATTTGGGCAGTATGGGCGATTGGAAGGGGCAGATTGGAGGCACGTTTTGACAGACAGGACCTAGATGGATGTTGGAGGGTTGGGTCGAGAATGAAAGAGAATAATCAGGGATGACTAGTTGGTTTGGGGCTTGAGCATCTGGATGTATGGCCAAACTATATACTTAGATGGAAAAAAACTTCAGAAGGAACAGGATTTTGCTTTGGCAGAGGGAATGAATCAGTAATCTGTTATAGGCCATGTTTGAGTTGCCAGTTGGTTATCTAAATAGAGAGATGAGAGTCTACACCTCAGGGAAGAGTTCTCATTGAACATATTAATGTAGGAGTGTGACATGTAGACTATCTTTAGAGTCATGGTACTGGGTAAACTTACCTCTGGAGAGAGTTTAGATGGAAGGGCATTTTAGGACTGAGTCCTATACTCTCTAGTGAAGGAAGAAAAGATAACCAAAAAAAGGACTGAGAAGCCACTGTAGTTGGAAACAGCAACAACAAAAACAGGGAAAAGAGGTGTCATGGAAGCCCAGGAAAGTAAGTATTTCAAAATCGAGAAAGAAGCCTCTATGGGATTTGGCATTATGGAGGTTATTGACAAAAGCAGTAGGAATTGGAGCAAGCTGAAATATGATACAAAGTGGGAAAGAAGAGGCCTTCCTTATTGTAGTCAGTGCTATTGAATAGTTCTGTGACGAAGGGAAATGGAGCAGTTAACTACAGATCAAAGAAGTATTTGGGGCTGTAGGTTGGGGGACTGGAAGGAGAGCATGTTTGTTTTCCAGGCGAAGATATAGCACCGCAAAACGTTTCCAAGGCTAATTGGAATGATCCAGTAAAGGGAAGAAATCCCTTTGGGGGTATAGGACACTTTTTTCTTGTCATTTGGTTTACAAAGTGTAAAAGACTCTCTACTCTAGCCCCAGTCCCTTTGCTTGTGGTAAAGGCTATGTTTTTATTGGGGGGAAAAATGTGAAGGGACAGGGAGGTAGTACACAGATTTTAAATGTTTCCATTATATGAAAACCAGCCCCTGTTGAGTTCAGACCCAAGGTGGTCATCTTGCTTGCCACCATAATCTTTTGCCCCATTACCTCCATAACTTCTGGACAGGCTTTGGCCCTTAACCAACCCACCTACCCACCCAGCCAGCCTCTGCCAGAGTACTGCTTTTCTAACATAGAGCTACTATCCTGTTTACCCTCTTGAGCATTTTCCCAAAGCCTTTGGGATAGAGTTCTGAACTGTCTAGAAGTCTCCACTCTTTGCAATTTCACCTCCTGCTTCTTCACCAACTCACTGCTTCCTGTCTGCACGCAATGTGCCATTTCATGTGTCCTTTCCTTTGCATGTGCTGCTTTTAGAGTGCCACACTCCACTCCAGATTACCCAGGCGCCCAGGAGACTGCTCTGACACCTTATCCTGTTCCTCCAGGCTTTGTAGTTACTTTTCAGCCTTGTTCCTGGGTTTGTACTCAAAGGTAAGATGTAAGCTTATTTTTACTACTTGGCTGTGCATTCCTTGAAGATAGCGATTTGTATGTCGCTCATGTCTAAATCTCTTATTTGCTTAATTAGTGCTTGACATGTGGCAGGGCTGAATATTTAATGAATTGAGTAAAAATATCTTTTTGCATGCAAGCAATTAAGTTTTTAAAAAGTCTGCTGATTATTTAAAAGCATTATCTCTTATTTAAACTACTCATGTTATCAATGTGGTATTTTGGTATTTATATGCAACTTCGAAGAGTTTAAGTTTTATGTAATACAAACCAATAAGCATAAAATAAAGAGACTGGTAGGGAAGGCTATATCACACCCCACTGGGGGTTAAAAGGAATTCCCCCCATCCCTTGGCCACCTTTCACTTCATTTTTCCTGCTTTTTCTTTGGTCACAGGAATAATTAGCCCAATGGCATATTGTTTCACATTTCTACAAGGTCAACTTTATTTGGAGTTCTATATGAAAATAGTTATCCCAAATGAAACAATCCATTGACTTTCGTGGTAGGATGTTTTCCGGGTCTGCCCCTCATGCTCATCACTTCATATAATAAAAAGGAGGTGATATAATATATGAAGCTAGAAAGGAAAAATCCAGACGGTTGCTTATTAAGCTAATAATTTTTGTTCCTACATTCATTTTTGTGCTTAATATTTTAGGATAACATTGAACTTCAGAACACACGAACATCCTACATAAGGATGTATATATATTTTATATATAAGTGAACTGAATCTGCAGGCCTCTGTTTGCTCTCTGAGTACTGTTCTTTAAGGGTTTAATAAGAAATGTCTCCTAACCTTTCAAAGAATAGGTGTTAGAGACTTACTTAAAAAAAAAAAAGAAATGAGAATGATATTTGAAATTATTTTTTGAGCAAATAATAATATGCCATTTGTTTATTACTTGGT